TAACCTGCCTGACTTCTGACTCCCCAGGTATCTCTCCACTTTTCATCCCCCACACATACATTCGCACAGCCTGCCCCATGCACCCCCCTGCCTCCCACACACATACACATGCACCGCACCCCACCCCCATACACACCTTGCCCCACACCCACCCTGCTCCACACACAGACGCACCCTGCTCCATGCGCATGCACCTTGTCCCCCCACATGCCCATCACACACGTCCATCCCACACACAAACCCCACCGCCTCACACACGTACACACACATGCCCCCACCACATGCACGCACACGTCCCCATCACACACATATGTATGCACAGCCCCTACCCCCTCACACACGCACCCTGCCCCACACCCCCCTGCTCCACACAGATGCATCCTTGCCCCCTCCACACACACCTGTGCACCTCTGCGGGCAGCCCAGCTCACTATGCGCACACCCCACCACACACACACCCACACCCCCCTGCACATCCCACACCCACCCCCCACACACACCCCAGCTACCCTCCTCCTCCACACACCCCACAAACCCCAAACCCACCCACACACCCACACATCCCCACAAACACTCCCCCTCATAAACCCCCCATAGCCACCCACCCATGTCCACACACACCCCCACACCCGTTCACACACACACACCCCCCCACAGCTCCCCCACAAACTCCATACCCACCCCTCCAAAGGGAGGGACCTCCAGTAGCAAAGGCTGGGGTTAGGAGGCAGCAGGACTTCCAGTCCCAAGATGGTGACCAGGCCCGGGGCATCTGTCAAAGAGCAAGGATACTCTCGTAGCTCTCAACAGCTCACCAAAACTCATTAAGCAGCCCCTCTAGCCAAAATAATTGCCCACATCTGGGCAATTATTAGAAGATGATAAGGGGGAGGAAGTAGAAATCTTTCCTCTTTTGATAACTAGTTTGTCATAAAGTTTGCACAGACAGTTTGAGGTTATTTTACATGTCCCAAGAAAACCTTCTATAAAAAGTCATTTATTTTGCACCACAGTTCTCAAGGAGGATTTCCATCGCTTCTATGGCTGAATTTGTGCTCCAATAAATTTGATTCTTCTTTGTGAATGAACAGCTGTGTCTAGAAATATGTTTTTAGAGGTGGCTCAAATAAGTGATCATTTTTCCTGGATTTTTTCATCTAGTTCACCATATATGAAGTTAGGCTATGGCTTAGACCAGCAAATATTTATAGGGTGACAATATCTAAGGTCTGTTATGTTAAGTATTTCATTCCACTCACTATCATGACTGCTATAATTAATCTCATTACAACAGAACTACCCTCTGATCCTATCAGCTCAGTAGTAGCTATAGCCTCACCATTATAGTAGGAAAAGTTGTTCTTGGGATTATCCAACTGATATGGAAGAGTGTTCATCCAGGAGCCCCCACCTCTCTGCTGGCTTTGTTTTCTCCGCTGACACCATGATCCACAATTTTAATTTGTGTACATATTGTGAACTCTAACCCACAGATCCACATGTGAAGAAAGTGAACAGATTTACACATATCCAGCTGTGTCCTAAGGGGAAAGTGTGCTGGACTGAAGCTGAGGCATGCTGCAGAGCCATTTCTTTTTTAACTGGCACTTTGCTGCAGAGATGGAGGATAAAGCTGTATGGCCACAGTTTTCATGACGTGACATGTTTATATAAAATCTGGAAAAAAGACAGTAATTAGAATAGAACATCCAAGGCAAAAATTAGTAAATGTCAGAAGCTCCATGGCTGACATTGCTTACCACTCGGCCTGAAAAAGCTAGGGAGAAAGATGTACAGAATAATTTTAATTAGTTTAATTTAGAATTGAGGAGGACTGAAAGTGAGGTTTTTGCCACCTCTCTCAAATACAAAAACTACCGAGCTGTCCTAAAACAGCTTGGAGCACTACAGAATGGGTTGCTAGGTTACTGGAGTTACTGGTGTGTCTGGAATGACAGTTCACAATCAAAAAACAGAGCTGAACATGAAAGAATGAGCCAAAATCTCTCCTCAATTGGGTAGAAGGGTTAAAGCCCACCAAAATGCTGCCAGGAAACCATAAAAGTATGAAGTGTCATCAGTGTAGCACTGTCCTCTTCTCTCTGAGACTGTGGAGAAGCTTTTCTGCTAGGTCTGTTTGGGTGAATAGAGGGAGACATAGCTGTAGGCAGCAGCAGATCACCAATTTGGCACAAAAAATCACCTGAACTAATGCTTGAGGAGGCTCCACAATTTGCACTGGGGCTTCTGGGACCTGGGCAAGTGTTGGGAGCCCTTGTTTGTGTGGTTTGGTGAGTGCTTAACTCACAAGACTTGTGGCAAGTAAATTCAAGGTATTTCTAATATTACATATAGGTAACTCCTGCTAAAGGGACAGCTTTGCCCCCCTGCTAGGCTCAATTTCCTCTATCGTCTAGTAGGATTGTGTAGGAACTACTTAATGCTATCATGATCACAAGAACCCAATATGTGTACAGACAAATAAAAGGCAGGTGGCAAAATTCAACCAAATAGATGGCTCCACACCTGAACTCATGAATCCAAAAGAAATATGAAGTAACTCAGTTGCAATAGTAAAGTTTTTTCCTTTGCTCTTCTCACACATGCAAACATGGAAACTATTCTGATATCTTACTTTTCTCCTTCTCCAAATAACTAAAAAGATGTGCTGCTCCTTGCCAATGTATAAAAACAGTTCAGAGGTCAACAGCCTGGGTTTCTGAGGGGAACAACAGCATCAGTCCTCACTACAGCCAGGTTTTGTAGTGACATTGTTATTTTAGTTAGTGGTGTGGTTTTTACTAAAAGAGAGATACTAATGTATCTACCCTAGAGTGGAAGTAGTGACACCAGTATAAAGGGACCTTATACTGCCACAAAGTATTCCCCTTCCCCCAAGGGGATAGAAAGTCCAGCATAAATACTTTTATAACAGTTTAACTGTGTGCACACTGGTTAAATATTGCTGCATTATTTCTACCAGTGCAATTAAAGCAGGACATGCTTGCATTTAGATAAACCTTATGTCCTGAATTTCCCCTTGCAGGGTGGGTCCAAAAGAGAACTCACAGGTTCATGTCAAGCGCCTCTCCGCTTAGCCAGTGGAACGCATCTCCTTCCTTGTACAGCCCAATCCAGAAGTCTCTCGTGCGCATCCGATTCATTATGAAATGCTAAACAAAGAAGATGAGGAAAATAATGTTTCCTCTGTGAAATTAACCTTTCTAGGGTTACTCCACAAAGAAGAGCTAAAAAGGACTCCCAAGCATATTTTATCACCAAATGTTCTAGGTCTGAATCTTCCTGCCCTCTACCTCAGATTGCCCCTCTCTCATGGATACACATTTCTGTCACAAAATAAACTGGATTTCAGTTTGCTCAGGGAAAAAGTAATGAAATTACAGGAATGGTTAGGGATA